AAAACGAGATGATCGATGTGACGTAAAATTAGAAAAAGATAATAAAGATATCTTACTCAGTTTAAAGTTATGACAGGCAATACAACAAAAAAATTGCGTATAATGTATCTGAACATTAATTGGAAAATATATGTATACCTTCATTTTGTTTCCAAGAATGGAAGTTTCAAAGAATTTATTTTATTTTGTAACTTGTTCGTTAAAATAATATAAAAATTCTTGCAATAAAATGTTATTAAAATAATGGATTGTAAAATCAACGTGAAACCAATAAAAAAACGTGAAAAAATTAAAGGAAAATATTAGAGTAAAGATATAAATTTGATACTTCCCTCTTGAAAATTGCTGTATTCTGATAACTCTATTGCATTATAATACACCGTAATTTATAAACGTATCTGATAATATTCATCTAGAAAGATTTTGCAATTAATTCTATTGTACAAGTATTTCACAACCTATACTAACTTAATTTAATCAAAACTTTAGGATAATAAAACATAAAAAGAGTATCCATAAAGAAAAAAGATAAAAATGACTTTGAAATCTTCAAAACATTTCCTTTCCTCTAAATAAGAAACATATTCCATCCAATTATACATGAATCAAAATTTAATTTAATTTAATTTAAGTCTTCTACAATTTTAAGATTACAACTCAGCCTATTTAAATCCCTTGATTTAAAAGTATAAACTAACTTCCACCGACATTCACCTAAATAATAAATGATTTGAAAGCTTCTCTAACAGGAAGATCTTCGAGCAGCAACAATGCGGATCAACAAAGTCCGAGCAGGTTGATCACCCACCGCGCTTTTACTGCAATTTTCGACGTTGACTGATTCCCACCCACGGTGACATACGCGCGTGTGCCTGCGGGTGAGGAGGGAAACCGGCACAGAGTGATTAATCATCCGATCCTTTGACAAAGGGCGGAAAGCCGGCCGGATTTTCGCAACGAAGGTGTTTCCTCTCGGCCAGCTGTCGACGAAAAACGCGGCCAGTTCGAGTGGAATCAAAGAAAGCAAAAACGACCGATCCTTAATACGTTTATAATCTAACTCGTTTACGCTCCTTTCTCTTCACGCTCTGCCTCGACTGTAACTTCCACCGAGTTATCCAAGCTTCCCCAATTCCTTTGACAACGATGATGGAATTTTCGAATTTTTGAATTGTCATTATTCTTGAATTGTCTTTCTACGTTACAGAACTTGAACAAGTGTATCGTTAGATTGTTAATTAATCTTCTGACGATTGGAATATTATCTTCTTGTGTCGATTTTGGAAGAAAGATGTTTGTTATTTGATACGAATATTAACGATGATAGAAAAGAACAATTCATTTTCTTTCTTTCTGATAAAATGTGTACGAATATTATTACAATAATATGTAAAAAATATTTCACGTTATGTAAACTCTTTTCAAAGAGTTTAATCTAAAAGTCTAACTTCTAAACTTTATACTTTAGCCAAATTCTGATTCTCATTTTTCTGATTCTCATCGCAAAAATTATGATGGAATATATACTTTCCATATTTCATTATTTCATCAAAATATCCTGACAATTTTACGAAGAATTAAAGTTCGACAAAATAAATCGACGGATGCGTCACAAAGTTCCTCCATAGCCTAGTTCAATCCAAACCATCAACACTCGCAGACGTACAAACACTCAAAATTTAACCATGTTCGCGGCTATGGTTGTCCTAACGATTCTCTCGCGGAGTTGGCCGGGAAACTTGAGTTGAGCTCGACTTTCCAAAGTTCGTCGTACGTCCGCCGAAATCGTCGCGAGAGTTCGTCGTCCTCTGCTGCATCCTCTTGACGTTTCCGCTTGGACGGTTAAAGCTTTCTTCCCGTTTCCTCTCATATCCGTTATTCGAGCATCGTGTTTCCGCGATGTCACGATAGAACCTGAGCCACGGAGGGGGAGGAGGATTATGCGCTCTTCGTCTTTCCATACAAAACCTATCGACACCGAATTTCGAGTCCCTGCTACAAATACTCGGGTTGAACTTGAGATTTCACAATGATTGATTCGGATTAGCGATGCTTCGGATCGAGATCGAGACGATTGTCGTCGAGTTGTCTCTTGGAAATTTGGAGTGTTAAATTTGGAGTGATCGATTGCGGGATTAACGAACGAACAATTGGGAGGAGACAGTTTAAGAGATTTGGAAGGAGGGAGGTTTTGGTGATTGCGGGATTTCGAAGTGATTGTGAAGTAATTCGAGATAAGATTGAGCTCGATTTGTACAATAAAGAGTTGATAAAATTATCTTTATCACATTTGCCGAGAATCTGCACTTATCATAATGGACCATAATCTATTTACGAATTGCGTTTGCAGGAAATTCGTGTCCGGTTTGTCGATACTATTTTAAGACCACGAGACATTAATCAGTGATAATATTCTTGAATACTTGAATATGTCATTTAATGAGTGGCGAAGCGTTTCGTTCGTACACTAGTTCGTTGTGAATTGATCACCAAGAATAATCTCTTCAGAAAAATCAAATAATGTTTTGAATTTCAAACTTGGAAACATTTATTATAATAATAATAATAATATTATAATAATAATTGAAACACAAATTTTCAATTAAGAAATAAACGTTATTTCTATCCGAAATAATCAATTCTATAATTCACTTTTCTAATATTAGTACAACAACAAAACAAAAGCTAGAAAGAAGCTAGAAGCATTTTTAAAAAGAAAATTAATTTCTAATAATTGGACACTTCACTGAAAAAGAAATGAATTTGTTTTTGAATTTCGATTTTCAATGCAAATGAGAAGTTTGCTTGAACAAGCCTAGCGCTTGTTACATACCGACACACTATTTGCATACGTGTCGTGTATCGAATATCGTTTAAATTAAACAAAATACGTACTTGTTTCGAAAATAAATAATTTTCCGCGCGATATTTAACAATTTAACAATAATTGTCAAAGTTTTAATAATTGAAGATTGTTAAAAATATTATGATTAATTTAATATCTTTTTGGAAAATGTTATAATTTTGCTTCATCTGGTCTTTGCTCATCAACTATTAAAGCTACTACTTCCTGTTTCTGTTAAACACGCCTACGGCTAAACCACGATTCGGAAATTGTTTAACTTACTAATTAATCGATCACGAGCTACTTGTGACAAGAATATTTCTGTTATGTGTATCTCGTAATATCAAGTTTGATAATATTAAACTCGAATTTAATATTAATTCGAATTCGATATAAAGTTCAATATCGTTTGTGTTTAAAATTATTGTTGGAAATATAAAATATCTTTGAATCATAATTAATAACCGAATAATATATGAAAGAAAGGTGATTTCTCATAAAAAGAATAAAACAAAAAGGAAAAAAGAAAGAAAGAAAGAATAGAAAAAGTAAAAAAGCTTATTTTTCGAAAAAATTAAATTTAAAAATTCAGTATATACATATGTAATTATGGATAACAGACGGTTGCATTTATAAACAATGCTTTGCGACTTCTTCTGGTATGTTATTTATACGGGTGATGTTTTCATTGATTTATCATAGCATGATATGTACGAATTGGAAATACATTGATACGATCTTTAGAAGTTTGTCCATGGAAATTTATCTGCTATTGTTTGTTATTACAAACAGTATTAAGTTAAAATTAATACGAATTTCAATTAATGCGAAATAATGATAAATTTCGAAATTTCGAAAATGAGAACATGTTCATCGAAAATACATCTACAATAAGAATAGATGATATCGAAATAAATTATTCTTATTTACTACTTCTATTATACTATTATATATTTGCAATGGATTTTCGAATTCTTTGAAAATTAAATTTCAAAAAGAAGATTTAATCCTTTGCTTCTTGCTTATTTTTTTCATAGAAGAATCACCCTTTAACTATCGTACGAATTTCTCAAAGAAAAAATAAAAGTTATAGTACTACGAGCACATTATATCCATATGTAAAAATGAAATAAACGAATGAAAGATATATCAATAATTCAACAACGATTTTCTACAAAGGAAAAAAAAATCTTTTCCCTTCCTTACGCGATTTCTTTAATTCATGAAGTTCCTCGCATTCGTTTTTCCATTCATCGATTCTTGGATAACAAATAATCAGCGAAAAGAAAAAAAAAGGCGCGTTCGATATCCCGTTTTCAAGACAAATATCGATAATTTCTCTATCAGACCGGGGATCGTGCATTCGATAACGTTGCCGAGCTATTAAAGCCTTCTTAGGATTTCTCGAGGATTGGTATTCCCTTTCGAATTGGAACAAATAACAGTTTCATGGAAACGCGGATCGAGAAACGACGAGGCCTTTGCGATAATTGGAAATGTAAATAAGCTGGAAAACCTTCGCTGGCGGGCTACGTCTTAATTTGAATTTTAAAGTTACGTTTAGAGAAACGGTCTCGAGCGTTGCGTTACTGAGAAAAGTCGTAAGCGATACGCCTCTTCTTGGAGGCTGCCTTCCAAATTATGTTTACTATACCCTTGCATAACTGTGTTTCCACGATTTCTCAAATGAGCCACGATTCTTTCATGTCCTAATAGATGTGACAATGTTGTAAGATAAAATATTGTATTCATAAAATAGTAATTTTTAAAAGATAGAAGTGAAAATGATGTTTGAAATAAATTTTATATTAGTCTCAGTATATTCTTTTTTTAAAAATATTTCGTAGATGAATGGAATATGTTATATTATTTACGTTTACATATAAAAATAAATTAGAATTATTTTTATATGCAATAAATAATGACAAAGAAACTATTAATTTTCTTAAGATAAAATGAATCAGTGAAAGTTTTTTGAATAAAGAATATTTTATACAATATGATTACTAATGGAATCGAAGAAAAGTGCAACGCATATTTAAAACGAAAATATCCTCTATGAATTTGAACACGAGAAAAGATCAAAATCTATGTAAATAGCGATTGTAATATGGCAAAACATTCCATTCAGTCGGCAAAAAAAGAATGTGTTTACCTTTGATAAATAGTCTCAAGATACGAAAACAGACGATCTAATGCCTCGTTTCGCTTGGTTCATCGCAAAGCTGTTTTCTATCCCCGTGAATCGCCACGATATTCTCGATTCTCGATCTCGAGGTACGTGAAGCGTCTGTGTTAAAAGAAACTGAAGGGAAGTCCTTCAGCAAAGTCCATTATCCATCGTGTAAACCGCTCGAGCCTCTTCTACTTGTAACCAATGGAATCGAGTCTCTTTTTTAACTTTATCTACACATTCCAACGCAACCCCGTTCAATCAACACCCACACAATCTTCTTTTCCACCTTTATCTACCAGTCCTTTCATCCAATCGTCTAATAATAAAAATCAACAAGAACACATCTCACAATATACTCGACTCACAAAAATCTTCCTGTCCATTTACCACACTTTTACATCACTGCCACACTCGAGTATTATCGTATGTCACTCTCGATCCAACCACGCTCTCGTACCTCGTGAAACTCGTGAGGTGGTTGGGACACGACTCGATCACATGGAAACGTGGTTCGATAATTTATTCCCTTTGTGCAACTCGACGTATCTGTAGGAAGCGAAAAAAAAAGAGGGAGGGGAGGGATAAGAACGAACGAGGCACGCACGATAAAACTAAAAAATCTTGGCGAGGACGCGGAAACGTGGTCGGAAAAAGTATTTTTCGAGCCGCGAAGACACCGTGATCTCGCTCGTGAGGCGCAGCGCACTTCGCAAGGGGCGCGGCGTAACTGAGCTCTACGAATCAACCCCCGTCCTTTCTCTCTCGCTCTCGTCCCATCTCCCTCTATCATTCTCCTTCTCCGTCCCTCGACCACGCAGACTCCCTCCCTCCCATCTCGCAGATCCTCTCTCCTCCTTCCACTCTCTCCCTCTCTCTTTCACTCTCCCGGTCTCCTCTTTCATTCCTCTTTTCCTCCACCCCCATTTCTGGCTGTCTCCTCTTTCTTGCCCTTCTTTCTCCACCCCCTGCGTCTCCTCGCCTTTCTTTTACCCGCTAAACGCGGCTCAATCCTCACCCCCCGTTTTGGTCCCAGTGCAGAAGCAACCCATTGCGCGAGCATATTTCTCCCTGACCCCCCATACCAATCCCTTCTCACCTGATCCCTCAACCAATACCTCCTCCTCCTCTTCCTCGTCCCCAAAGGGTTTTCTTCTCCTTCTTTCCCATCGTGTCATTTGCATCCTCTCCTCGACACGTTTGTATATGGGCAAGTGTACGTATACAAAGATACCTTCCCCTCTTCCCTGTGCCGTTTATCCTGTACGCGCCCTTTGTTTTTCGCCACTTCTTTCGTTTGCTATTTTGCTTCTATCGAGGCTACTTCTTCTCCCCCACGAGAGCATTCGTGAGTTTCGAGTGCATAGCTCTCGAGATGCGATGCTTTTTATCGCGATTCATTGCTTTCGTTTCCTCCGATTTTTTTCCGAGTTTCGATGCCCGACAGAAATTTGCCACTTCGAATAGAAGGAATGGATAAGTAAAGGCTTTTGTTCCCACGAGCGCTATCTTCGAATCGCTAACGCTCGCCATCCTTCTATCTTAATTATTGTTTTAAGGTAATTAGTATTGTCTGTCTTTTCGCGCGTTGTTCAATTCCATTGCTCTTGGGTTGAATAAATATTTGTTACTGTCTTTGTTATTTTCTACCGATGTCGTCGATCCTTTGTCTCGATCCTGTCGCCGAATCCAATTTTATTTTACGTTAAGGCCGGATAAAATTTCGTAGTAAAGGTTTATAGACAGGTGTTTCGAAAAATGAAAAATACTTGGAATACATTTGCATTTTGTGAGGCTCGAGCTTAACGTGATTTAGGATTCGAGAAATATTTTATCATTATATTTTGATATTTGTATTTTTGTTGTTGAATATTTGTAAATGTTTACCAAAGCAGACAATAATTCAACTCTTGCGATGTAACTTGATAAGTTAATCAATCCTTAAACTAATTTCTTCGAACAACTTGTCTGCACTTCTCAACTGATTCGAATAAAAAAACTAATATATCAAGTGTCATCGGATATCTTCAAACTTCAAAGCATTTTTCGCAGAGATTATCAATTCGAGCATTCTCGAAACTTTGAGAGACGTTAACTCATCAAAGTTGGTAATTGCCCTATATCTTTGTAGGAAATTTCATCAGATCAGAGTTGAAGTCCGCTTCAAACTACTTTCACTTTTATTCTTTTATTTTTCATTATACATATATTATATCTCCATTATTTTTCATTTTTAATCTGATATTTCTTATATTAAATTTTACTATATCTTTATTATTTTATTTTCATTATTAATTATCGTCTACAGATAAATAAATCTAGGTAGAGATACTTTTTAAACTCTCTTTCATTATTATTATTTTTTTTTTTTTTTACTCTCAGCAATCTCGGTTCAACTTTATAAAAGATTTCCTCGATGCTTTAATTTTTTAAAGAATCTACAAAAATTTATTCGCTTTTTAATATCCCTAGAATATTACTTAGAAAGTTACACCATTTTTTCAAAACACGCTAACTTTGAGAGGATAGCAAAGCGTGTAATATCAAGATACAAGAATATAAATTCAACTATCCCCTTCACTATTTTACGAGTGTCAATGACACTAATTCGATAAATCACCATAATTAATCAAATACATTTAAACAATCGATATTTCGCATCTCGTAAAATGTTATTCTTACTATTTCCCGCAAAATACAAAAAAAAAAAAAAAAAAAAAAGAAAAATGTACAAATCTAAAATTTCCATTAAAACAATAGATTCGTAACACACAAACGCACAGGCGATACACAAAGTTAAAAGGGAATATGAAAAAGTTCACCGATAACGTGTGTTTTGTTTCCGGTACGGAACAACGAGCATCAACGTTCTAGAACGGTGCTTACCACCGATTTCAATAAAAGCTAACAGTTCGTGGCATTTTGTTTGATTTGGGGGGCGGCACGATCAAAGGGACGATTCGGTTAAGCGTTCGATGATTGATCGACCGGTAATGCCGGATGGGATTGAAAAAAAACTTAATCTGTCGAGCCGTCTGCCGAGTCCGGGAATTAATATCACGAGAACCAGATTAGCCTCGGCCGTGGAACGCTCGGTTGCACTTCGATTTACCATCCAATGATCGAGTGCCGCTTAAATCACTGCCGATTACGGCTGTGCCTCGATGCTACTCCTGTTACGGCCAAAGTGCGCGGCGTAACGCGTTACACAACGATTATAGCCCCGACAGGTTGTAATGGCGAGGGCTTGATTAAGGGTTCAATCACGTCCTATTTTCATTACACTCGATTCTACGTTCGAATATTATTCCATCATCTTTAGAGTTATCGACGTTCGTGTTCTGCCGCGATAACGATTAGATTTTCGTTGCGGGCGTTTCGTTACGATACACGACATGCGAACGAGGATGTATTGCGATTCGAAATACTTTCTTTTTTCTTTTATGCATGAATTTTGTATAAATGTGTAACTGTTTCATTATTAGAAGGAATTAAAGAATATGCCGGATAATATATATTTCGATTGAAATATTCGAGAGTAAAAACGCGAAGAAATATGTGAAATCTGATATTTCCTATCCATTAATGTTACGCATTATTTAACGTGGAAAATATATTTTCAGGAAATTAATATTTTCTCATAATCCTCAATATCGGCGTACAATAAAGCAATAACCAGTATCACAAACAATTAATAAAAAAGCAACTACTTTTTGATTCAATTTTAATCATTAAGAATCTCAATTCGTATCCCCTAATTAATTCATAATTTAACTTTAAAATTTTTATTTAATCATTCTTTCGATTCCTTACAGATCTGAAATTAACTTCATAAATCTGACGAGAAGAGGAAATAAACGTGTGAAATGTTCTTCGAAGAAAACAATTTATAATATTTTACATAAAATTACCGATCAAACTTAGAATCTAACTTAGAATCTAACTAATCAAATTTCTTCCATTCTTTCTCTCTGAAAAGATATACAATCGTAATAGTTCTTGATATTTTCAACACCTTGGAGTGTAGTTCACGAGCAATTGTTGACAAACGAATATTTATCGATCAATAAGAGATACACTTCCGAGATAAAATCCACGAAAACGCAACATTTCTTCGATGCTCGTTTCGAACGTCAGAGAGCACAATCTGGTGTCTAAAGTCTGGGCAAGAAGCAAATACCTTGGTCCCACAGAAGGCGGAGGGTACAGAGAGGTTGGTAAAATTTCAAATTTCGTCACGCCGCAATAGGTACGCCTATATAAATATTTTATGCGGTCGAACGACAAGGGAGATCGGTACGCGCGCACCATCGAGGGTTCGCCTCATAAATTTCATATTTCTGTGTCATCCCTTTTCATCGAACAGGACCGAGAGAGTGCACATCGATGCTTGTGTGCAACGTACGACGGGGCGGTGAATATACTTCCCCAAAAAATGATATACATCTTGCGTGGAAATCGATCGGCGTTTGTTTCATTGTTGGATTGATGATCTGAAATACCGTGACCGGTTTTTTCACCCGCTTCTTTTTTTCTTTTTTTTTTATTATGAAAATATGATACGAAGTATATGGAAAGTTATTCAATTTTTCCCTTTAGCAGGGAATATTTATGATGACATCATAATCCGTGGTCGATTATTGTGTAATTCTTGTGGATGACGATGAAATTTATTGAGAATTTTTGATATAGAGTCGGTAAATAAGCGAAGAGTGTCTGAGTGAAATTAGTAACACGATCAAATTTGATATGAATTTATAAATCTGAACTACTTCTGATACTTCAGTTTCTGACTTTAATAAAAGTTTTGAAAATTTAGTTCTGAAATCTTTACTTTAATATGTATTCTACGAATCGAATCTTTTTTAAATCAAGTCCTAAGAATTCAGAAATCATTACTACTGCGTTAAATTTTACATAATATTTTTGTATGTATAAAAAAAAAGTTTAAATTTAACAAATATATTGCAATTATATTCAGCATACCAGAAATATCTGTTGCAATTATATTATTTATATTTAAAAATTCCATTTGCAAAATTTCAGACATTTTGAATTTTTTCGAGGATGTTGACAACTCTGTCTCGGAGTCATCGATTTAACGGTAGAAAATATTTAAGCTTTTGGAATATGACGTGACATAAGAGTCCTTGTAATGTCGACAAGCTGTCAATAGACAGATATTTCTTGCCGTGTTGCAAGTGGCATGTTCCTACATGTCAAACTGTCGCCATTAGAGGACTGCGGCCACATATGCATCTCGTGACATAAACTAACCGATGCATTCACCTAAATATTCTTTAAAATCATATTATACTGTCTAAATCTCACGAATATAAAACGTATCACCATCACGTAATTATAATATATATTGTCCCAAAATTACTAATCTCATCTCCATATGATGCCAATTAAAATTTTTGACTAAATCAAAAGACTAAATATTTCACATACTATAATTATCATAATAATCCAATAAATATCGAGAGCTTTATTGGATACTAGATGAACTTTCATACTATTTATTTAAAAATAAAATAAAATTGCTCTCAAATGAATCTTATTTTAGCACCTATCCAAGATAGAATCAAATGTTTATCATGTCTGTGTAATTTCTATGAATTTGAAGAGAAAAAAAATGAATGTGAATTAAATAAAATATTGATTTCAAATTTCATTCAGCAGACTTGAAGCCTATTTTAAAGATTTTGTTTCGAAAAATTGAAAGATAGATGCTAAAATGGACATTATTGTACTTGGAAATATAATATTATAAACATAACCCTCATCATTTGAAAAATGTTAGAGCAAGGAATTCGATCTATTCGAATCAATTAATAGAGACGATAAATGATTAAAAGTTTCGTGTTTTAAAGCTGTGCTTTATTTTTCTCGTCTTAGGTGTAGAAGAAATAAATCATTCTCTTTGTAAAGAGTAGGGCAGGAAGACTACTCTTTTACAGTACGGTTTCAAAGGTAAGTAGGGAAAGTCAAGAAAGAAAGAACGAGCGAGTAAATGATCTACTTTCTAACGATACCTCAGAAACACACTTCTTTAACCATAATAAGAAGATATACAATGGCCAAGGAATTTCTTGTCTAACCAGGGATATTTATAAATCGAAGAAAGGGCTTCGTCAAATGGAAGTTTATCTTTTCATATGTTTCATGACTTCCTTCTTTGGAAGTTTATATATAATAACAATCGTAATGTTCTTTTCTTTTTTCTTTACAAATATCGTTCCACTTTTTCAAGAATATATATTTTATCGCGTTGTATTAAGATAAATAATTGGAAATTCAACGATTAAAATGATCCGAAGAAGGATCATTTTTTTAATTGTGACAAGATATGTCAAAATTTATTACTTATATTTTATTTTTAACTCAATATACTTCTCCTAAAAATTTCCAAATATTATAGCCAAACTAGAACTAAACTAAAACTATCCTTTTACATTAAAAAAAAAAAAAAAAAAAAGAAAGAAAATCTCGTTCTTCAAAAAATTTCTCAAATCTGCTACATATATACTTTAATCCAATTATATAAATCCAATTTAATATCGATCATTAAAATTTCCTCCTCTATTCATTAAATCTTACACGTCGAGATAGCAGAATTATCATTCAACTTC